CCAGATTAAGGAATTTGGGGGCCCTGGGAACAGGCAACACTGAGGCCCATATCTATCCTGCTTTTTCCATAGGTATAGTTACCGTACTATTAACAACACTGAAATCAGACGATAATATACGGGCCCCTTGAACCTAGAGGGGGGGGCGACCTGCCTGTGAAATCAGACGATAATATATAGGGATCCTGGGCACGTTGTCCATTTTCCCTAATGGATAATCAGGCCTAGCATCACAGCAATTAATTGATGTATTAGGATGTCCTGGCCTCAAGCGAGTCATAGTTTCAGGTTGAATCATCTTGTGTAAAGGATTCAAGAACAAATAAATGATAAAAAGAAATTAATCATAGTGGGAGTTTTGCCCAGTTATATATTTGTGCATAAACAAGTCGTACATGAATATACTAGAATTCTAAGAAATCACAATTCAAACTTGCTAGAGCATTTTCAATATTGTTGTGGTAATTGTGGGGTTTAACGCCTTTTTCAGCATGGGATAGACTAATGGAGGACGAATCCAGGGAAAACCACGGAAAGAACCATGGACCCACAGAAAGCTACTGGCAAGCTTTCTAACGTACCCCATTATCCGAGCCCTATATAAGAACTAAAAAAAGACAGATGTGAGATGGCAGTGATCCGTAATGGTGAGAATTTTAGACCACTCAGACACTCGGGGCTCCGACAAATATCCTGCAGTTAACAAACTTGTTAAAAACACTTATTTTTAAATTACAGCTTATTTCTTCATCTATCCATTTTTGTTGGTATGCAGAGAATATTTTATCTCGGGAATTTCTGATATGCTTAGGAATCCTAACAGAATTCAAGCAAAAATTGTTTCAATATACCGTATATAATTTTATTTTGTTTCTTAGTCTTTGTCAGCAAATAGATAAACTTTCTAACGTTCATAGTAACTGAAAAGAAAGTAGTTTATGTAACTACTAGTGCACGTCTCTTGAACAGCTTTATGAAAGTATTATACAATTTCCTCAGTCTTATCGAAGCTAATCTTGTTTTGAGAGTGTTTATTAGCTGTTTCTTCATTCTTCTTAATTTGCTCATATGTGAAAAAGCTTGCAATTAGCTTCTCGTGGATCGGTGGTTCTTTCCGCGGATTTCCCGGTTTCTTCCTCTACCAATTTATACTGGCGGCCATGAATAGCTTATCGTGTGCTGAAAAATGTCGTTAAGCCCCACTACAACAACATCATGATTTGTTTCTGTAAAATGTCTGTTTTGTTTTTGCAAGCTTCTAGCTGCTTTTGTTGCTTCTCTTTAGACTGTGTGCATACAACTCTAAAGAGTTCTGCCTCTTCAAATTCCTATTATGGTAACGAGTTTTATTTCTTTCTACTAACATATGATGGTTTTGTAAAGTCATTATCAGGTAGGCCTTAAAAGTTAGCATGATGCTTTTACAAAATCTGTATCATTTAGGACTTGCAAGTTATCATGTTATTTTTTGAAGCCTTACAAGTTATCGTGTTATTTTTTAAGTTTTTCATCATTTAGCCTTACACGACAGCATGTTATTTTTAAAATGTCTGTGTCATTTAGGCCTTTACACGTTATTATGATATTTTTACAAAGTCTGTATCATTTAGGCCTTTCTTGTTAGCATTGGTAGTTTTGGAAACATAATAGATACTTACGATTCATACTACAAGTTTTGTGCCCGTTCGTTTCGTGCAATGGTTTCTTTCTTAATTCCCTTCCCGCTCAGTAATTCCTGCGCAGTTTATTGGTTACGAGTTAAAGCTGAAATCATACAATTATAAGTTATCAATTATGTCTTCTCTGCAATCGTTTGATAATCTGTGCTCAACTAATGTTATCTTATTCTTCGCAGCTTTGCTCAAATAATCAACCGGAATATAATTGTTTGGTTAAGGTAGAGTTGGGGTCTATAACAAAAACGATAGATGAACATCTGTTCTTTGCCACAGTTCCACAGATGATACTTGTTGTTAATTATTAGCACTTACAAGTTCTAGTACATTAGAATCCTTGCAAATAGTGTTTTTTTTTCAATCATGTTCACCTGTTTCAAGAATAACATGGTCTGGTTGAGGTATGCTGTGTTATTGCAAACAATGACGTATATGGCCGTGTCATTTACAAACAGACATTCTGACAGCTACCGTATACTTCCGCTTATAATACGAACTACATATAACAATGATCATGATCTGAAAAAAAAAACATTGTAGAAGTCTTCAAAATCTGGATTCCAATTTATTGTTTTTCAATACGCACGCAACAGTACATTTAATTTTAATCACTCTCCCAACACTTAGTACCCATTACGTCTCCTAACTAGAGGATAAAGGTGCTGACTTTTAAGTCCGTCCAGTATGAACATATACTAAATATAAAAAAATTATAAATGTTGGGCTCTACTACATTACATGTTAATGTACTTGGCGATTAGTTTGAAAAAATATGAAATAGCATGCAAAAGTAAAATTACAGTTTCCGTGAGTTATATGCAAATGTATATTTTCAGTTACTATAGCGTCTAATAAAAGTTTTGGTTTGGAAATTATGCGCATCATCCACCTCCCCCCCTCAATGTAAAGTTTTTCTTCCACACTTCATCATGGCTAGAAAATCGATATGCAAACTGTGAATATGAATATTAATATAATGATATTCATTGACATCTTGCACGTGTCTGGAAAAATATGCAGCACTAACATTTGCTTCAATTTATGTGGTGATATCTGAAGATCAATTAAATGTGCCTGCTCCATTTCTGATCGATAATAACTAGAACATATACCATTAGTAACCCAATTTTATCAGGGTTCTTTTGCGCCACAGTAACTTCAAACCGGCATCTGTTGCTATGACAAATACATTGTTTACTTCTGACGGCTTCGATCAATACATATCTAATGAGAACAGCACTCCGTTGAGCGCTTTGCATTTAATGGGAGGAGGGGAGAGATATTAATGATTTGGATGTCTGACTCACAGCTATTCCGCCAGGCTTCTCCAAACTACGATTGTTTTTACCTCTGCATATTCCATTGAGAATGAGTGAATAAATATCAATGAAAACCAGTACGTCTAGGGAAAGTATTTATGTTCATTGAAGGATAATAATTGTTTCTAATGTAAATAGACTAAATGTTATTGACAAAATACACTGTGGATGTGGGAGTGGTACCATTGTCTCCTTTGAACTGAGCTTGTTGCAGTAGCCGTTTAGATTGTAAAATTGGAGGTAAGTCCTTGTATTTTATTCGCATTCTACGTATATTGGCCAACTCTACAGAATCATCACTTTCGATATATTGTCCCCTTTTCCGACATATAATATCCTTAACACACATCAATATAAATTTAACAAAAACATAGTATGCTATTCAAAACGTCCTGCGTGAGCCGACAAATCTGCAGTAAGAAGTGTTTTTATTTCTCTTCGTGCATCACAGCTCTGGTTTGCTAAATGGCTTAAATGTCCACCTCGGATGCGGGATGATGTGGATTCAAACCCCGGCCTAGTCATGCCAAAATATTATTAAAATGGTACTAGCATTTGCCTCCCTTAGCCCTCAAGATTAAGAGGTTATAATTAGAAATAGCTTATGCAATACGTTGCTGTATGTAAGATGCATTGCCGACACTAAGTGAAGATGTACTGTGTGCCACTCTACAAGTACGAAATGGAGCCAATAAAACAGAGCTTCTCGTTGGTAGGTGGTTCTTTTAGGGTTTTTTCCTCCACTATTGATACTGGCTGCCATGTATAGCCTATCTTGTGCTGAAAAATGGTGTTAAACCCTAAAATAACAACAAAAACCACAACATCATTACCTGTGTGCCACTGTACAAGTAAGAAAGAGAGCTAATAAAACACAGCAAACCGAATTTAAAACCGGTCGTTTCTTGTATATTCGACCTGTCTCTATAATGCTTTTCATCAAGTTTAGAAACAGCTGTCCAACCAAGGCTGTTTGCGTTCTGGTTATTCATTATAATAAATTAATACCTTTGGTAATCATGGTTTGGTAGGAATACATCAAATTTCTTATCGAGTTCTTGAAAATCGACAGACCGAAACCATGTTGGACTGCAAGGGGTTTAACAATGCAACGAGCTCACACTGATAATTTTAGTCTCGATAAATAGTGGAACAAACTCTGCAATCGGAAATTAAACTTATGGAAAAATATTTCCAATAAGGAAAAATATTTCCAATAAGGAAATATATTTCCAATAAGGAAAAATATTTCAATAAGGAAAACTATTTCCAATAAGGAAAAATATTTCCAATAAGGAAAACTATTTCCAATAAGGAAAAATATTTCTAATAAGGAAAAACATTTCCAATAAAGAAAAATATTTCCAATAAGGAAAAATATTTCCAATAAGGAAAAACATTTCCAATAAGGAAAACTATTTCCAATAAGGAAAAATATTTCCAATAAGGAAAAATATTTATAATAAGGAAAAATATTTCCAATAAGGAAAAATATTTCTAATAAGGAAAAACATTTCCAATAAGGAAAACTATTTCCAATAAGGAAAGTTGCACGCTCCATACATCTCATACTCATGTTAATGCTGTTGGGTCATCTTTACCAAACTCATCGCGAAGTACACCAACAAGGCTAATGGACCCTACCTCATTTCTCTTAAATGGACCCTACCTTATTTTTCTTGACAAAGACTGAAATAAAAACAAAAAAGACAGGAAATGAACAATAATGTGTGAGTGTGTGTGTGTGTGTGTGTGTGTGTGTGTGTGTGTGTGTGTGATGGCTCATAATTCTCTCTACATTGTAACATTGTCAACACTCTTTATATCACTGCAAAATCGGAAGAATGATTCAATTACATATTAGGCAAACTCTTCGCAGTCATCACTAAATATACTGTAAATAAGACACTGCAGCATGTGCAGTGTACGCTGTGTGTAATGCAGTTATCAAAGCACATGGGTCCCTCTTTGTTGCAATTTGCAACTACGTACGCTCTTTCTAGCCGTAACTGCTCCGGTGGCCTAGTGCTTAGAGCGTTCGACTCAGATGCGGAAGGTTGTGGGTTCGATCACCGGTCTAGTTACACCAAAGACATAGCAAAATGGTAATAACAACTGTCTCGCTTGATGCTAAGCATTAAGAAGTTAGAATTAAGACTAGTCGGCCAGGTGTCAGGATAATGTGACTGGGTGGGAATATATGTAGCATGATGCCTCAGTGCTAGATATCATTATAAACTGCCAGACTGCAGACATCGTAGCGATATGACTGAAAAATTGTTAAAGCTATGTTAAAAATCATAATCGTATCACATCACTTTATTGCCGTGAAAACACCACATCAAAGGGAGATAATCTTTGATGTAGAGCAAGGAAATTTTGTGTAAAAGCCGGAATGTGTTCCGTTCATCTCTATTGGTGATTCGAACAAATCACCAGACTATTGTCAATATATACATTTTTCCTTTCAATGATAAATACCGATAATTTTCGAACTGCATTTGAATGAGATTGGCAAAGATCCGCTTTCACTAGGCAGAGAAAAGAAAGCACGCTTGCATGCCATTTAATACATGTTTTCTAAGAACGAAATTTTCAACTGAATAATTTTCGTGCAATTTTTCGTGAGACATTTATAGAGGTCTTCACTATAAATTTTAGGGGGAATTTCTATAATATCAGCTTGTTGAACACTTCCAGTCTAATAATTAAGTTTATTTAGAACTGTGTACCAGTAAAAGAGGAATTGAATACACTAGCGCATGCAGTACTAGACGTATGTGATATACTAGAAGTATGTGATATATATATATATATATATATATATATATATATATATATATATATATATATATATATATATATATATATAGATATATAGATAGATAGATATATATATATATATATATATATATAGATATATATATATATATATATATATATAGATATATATATTTGTTTATATATATATATATAGATATATATATTTGTTTATATATATATATATATATATATATATATATATATATATATATATATATATATATGGTGAGTTGGTGGTTCTTCCCAAGGATTTCTGGAGTTCTAACTCCACCATTAATACTGGCCGCCAAGTATAGCCTATCTTGTGCTGAAAAATGGCGTTAAATATTGCAACATCAAGAACAACATATAACACCCACACACACACACACACACACACACACACATACATACATACATACATACATACATACATACATACATACATACATACATACATACATACATACATACATACATACATACATACATACATACATACATACATACATACATACATACATACATACATACATACATATATATATATATATATATATATATATATATATATATATATATATATATATATATATATATATATATATATATATTCGGTTCGGTTGGCTTCCGTTAGTCTCGAGAGACGATGAAAATGCGCCCATGGAAGGTGTCCTAGTTTGTAGCTGTGCAGCGTCTTCTTTGACTATAAAATCCCACACGGGAGTGGCAATCCTTGCTGCAGTTGCTACACTTGAAGTATGACTCGGGTCTTGGTTGGAACTGCATCCTCTTCCTCTGAGATCTTTTCTCATCAGCGAGCTGTCGTAACTTTTCCACGCTGGCTTTCAGACCTGTGCACAGAGCATGTCGCCAGCTGGACTTGTCGAAGGCAATCTCTTCCCAGGTGTTGACCTCTATTCCAAGAGCTTTCATATCCTGCTTGCAGACATCCTTGAAGCGAAGATGTGGCCGTCCTATTGATCTTATGCCTGAGGCAAGCTTAGAGTAGAGAAGGTCTTCGGGGATCCGTCCATCATCCATTCGATGCACATGACCCAGCCATCTGATGCGACGTTGGCGGAGGAGTGTGACCATGCTGGGAATTTTGAAGCACATCGTTGTTTGTCACACGATCGCTCCAGGTGATCCAAAGTATGCGTCGGAGACAACGCATGTGAAAGGCGCTTAGTCGTTTCTCCTGAGAGGCGTACAGGGTCCAAGTTTCGCTGGCATACAGAAGAGTGCTAAGCACGCAGGCACGCTACACGGTGATTTTAGTGTTTAATGTCAGCTTGTTGTTGTTCCACACTTTCATCGACAATCTAGAGAGAGTTGTTGACGCCTTTCCAATCCGCTTGTTGAGCTCGGCATCGAGTGAGAGGTTGTCGGTGATGGTAGAGCCAAGGTAAGTTAACTCACTGACTAATTCTAGTTTGTAGTTGTTAATGGTTATGCTGGGAGGGTCTGCGTCCTGAGCCATCACGTTGGTTTTCTTTAGGCTGATGGTCAGCTCGAATTCATCACATTCTTTAGCAAAGCGGTCCATCAGGCGTTGTAGTTCAGCTTCTGTGTGAGTGACTATAGCAGCATCATCTGCAAAGAGCATGTCCCTAATGGTTGCTTTCCTTACTTTGCTCATTGCCTTCAGTCGTGCCAGGTTGAACAGTCTGCCGTCTGAACTTGTGTGCAAGTAGATCCCTTCTGTTGACGTCCCAAAGGCGTACTTAAGCAGGACAGCGAAGAAGATGCCAAAGAGCGTGGGGGCAAGGATACAGCCTTGTTTCACTCCGCTGAGGATATTGAATGGTTCGGACGATGAGCCATCATACTGCACTGTGCCTTTCATGTCTACATGGAAGGACTGGATCATGCTTAACAACTTTGGAGGGCATCCAATCTTCGTCAGGATTTTGAGGAGTCCGTCTCTGCTGACCAGATCGAATGCTTTGGTGAGGTCTATAAAAGCCAGGAAGAGGGGTCTTTGTTGTTTCCTGCATTTCTCCTGCAGTTGCCTGATGGAGAAGATCATGTCGATTGTGGACCTCTCTGCGCGGAACCCACACTGAGACTCTGGATACACTTTGTCAGCAAGCGTCTGCAGTCTGTTCAGGATGACTCTAGCGAAGACTTTACCCACAATGCTGAGAAGTGATATGCCCCTGTAGTTGTTGCAGTCACTTCTGTCGCCCTTGTTCTTATACAGGTCATGATGTTGGCGTCTCTCATGTCCTGAGGCACTGCACCTTCATCCCAGCACTGGCAGAGAAGATCATAAAAAGCACACTGCCGCCACATTTGATGACTTCTGCTGAGATGCCATCCTTTCCTGGGGCTTTACCTGTGGTCAGTTTCTCTAATGCTAGCTTTAGTTCTGTCACAGTATGTTTCTCATCCAGTTTGGTCAAACAAGGGAAGTTTTCAATGGCGTTGAGGGCATTGTTAGTCACGTTATTCTCTCTGGAATACAGTTCGAAATAGTACTCCACCCAACGCTCCATCTGTTTGTTCTTGTCATGAATGATATCTCCTGCAGAAGACTTCAGTGGAGCTATCACTTTCATCGTTGGACCCATTGCTTTCTTTATGCCATTATACATGCCTCTGCTGTTTCCGTTCTCTACTGCTGACTGGATGTTCTGACAGAGTAGAAGCCAGTATTCATTAGCGCATTGCCGTGCTAACCTCTGCACTTTGCTTCTTGTAGACCTATATGCATGTAGTGTCCTCAAGCAGGGAGAACGCTCGAATTCCAGGCGGGCACTGCGACGCTTTTCTATTGCTGGCATGAGTTTGGCGGAATTGGCGTCAAACAAGTCATTGTTCTTTGTCTGCTTCTTACCAAAGATTCTTGTGGCTGCACTGTGCACAGTATCTCTGATGTTGTCCCATCTCTCTTTGGCACTGCCGAAGGGAGGTTCTGAACTGAACGCCTTGGAGTGAGTGAGTGAATTCTTCAGCCTTGTCTGGATATGACGTCTTGCTCACATCGATGTGTGGTTTACCCATTTGCCTAGAGTGGTGGATCTTCTTTGGTTGAAGCTTAAATTTACAGCAGACTAGAGAGTGATCGGTGTCGCAGTCAGCGCTGTGGAATGTACGAGTAATCTGCACACCCTTCATGGCTGAACGTCTTGTGATAATCAAGTCCAGCTGATGCCAGTGTTTGGATCGGGGATGCCTCCAAGACACTTTGTGCTGTGGTTTTGTCTGAAAAAATGAATTGGTGATGCTGAGGTTGTGGAACGAGCACATTTCTAGTAGACGTTGCCCGTTTTCATTCATCTTCCCAATGCCAAACTTGCCGAGACACAAAGGCCAGGAGTCGTGATCGGCACCCATCCTAGCGTTGAAGACGCCCAGTAATATCAAGTTCTCTTCCTTCGGAATATTGTCGATGAACAAGTCGAGCTCGTTGTAAAACGCATCCTTGGTATCTGTGGTGGCACTGAGTGTGGGAGCGTAAACACTGATGAGATTAACTAGCCCGGTTGTGGTGTGGAGGCGAAGAGATAGCAGTCTTTCGTTTCCTGGTTGGCAGGGTTCTATCATAGCCAGCAGAGAGTTTCTGACAGCAAAACCAACACCATACTCCCTAACTACGTCTGGGCTCTTTCCTTGCCAGAAGAACGTGTAGTTCTTTTCTCTGAGGGACCCAGAATCTGGTAGCCGTGTCTCTTAAAGTGAGGCGATATCGACATGGAGTCTTGCGAGTTCGTCGTTGATGACTTTAGTCTTTCGAACATCACTGATTGCCTTGAGATCATCCGAAAGCCCTTTCAGCATAGTCAGGACGTTCCAGGTACCTAGCTTGAGGATTATTGATTTCCTTGTTTTTCGTTTGTTTTTTCTTGGTGCTGTAGTTGCAGCCCACTTGTCAGGTACTCACGTATTTTAAGCCCTGCGCACCCAGCAAGGCAGGCGAGCTGTGGCGGGACGGCACCTTATTGGCTGGGGGCTGCCCAGCTTGAGGCGGGCGATAGCTGTCCAATGAGATCTGTTGGTCTCTCCCACCATCGGAAGCAACCCCTGGCGTCTAACTCTACGCCAATCGAGTGGTGACTTATAACCGGTAACTGTTGCTTCCCGTGTTGTGTCAACGCTGTGAAGCGATGATGGAGTGTCCTCTCCAGGGCGCAAGCCTGGGCAAGGTTATATGGAGAATCAGCTGTTGCCCATGCAACTGACTCCCCCTCTCCACGCAGCTGATGGATCCAAGGGAAAGGACAAGCCGAAACGCCATGGCACCAGCGGCGTCGCAGGAGATGTCACTAAATGCATTGA